GGGCACCTTTTTGGTTCTTGATTTTTTATATATTATATTTTATTTTATCCCCCCCCCCCCCCCCCCCCCGCAAAGTTTGAATGAGGAATTTGAAGGAATGCAAAACGAAAAACGCTCCCTTGGTATCGCATGAACGGCTTTCATTTTTGCACGCATTTTGTTTTAGATTTATTGAAAAAAGCGAAACATCAACTATTCTTAAGGGAACACCAAGCTAAAGGTGGTTTGTAACTCACCTGTGTAGGGCCGTCAGTGTAAGAAGTAATCTACACATGTGTGGAGTAGTCATACGTACAATACAGTATATAAATGGCCAAAACGTGATGGTCAATAAGGGTGTACCACTTAAACATCGTTCTTCATCAGTACATTAATCACTCTAATGTAGATATTTAACAAAGATAACATGTCAAACAAAATTCAAACACTTTAATCATACGAGATACGTATACAGCAGTGTTTCCAATATACATAGCGAACTATGCTGTAAATATTGAGGAATCCGAAACGCATTCCTGAAATAAAACTTCTGGCATTCTTTGGTTTGTTTGTTTGTTTGTTTGTGTTAACGTCCTATGCAAAGCTATGGTCATTTAAAGACGTGCCAGGTTTTGGTGGTGGATGAAAGCAGGAGTACAAAGGGTACCTGGCGACTGCCCCACGTAAACACATATCTTATTTCAAATATGACTTCTACAAATTATGAAACAATCATTGGAACAAATACAGATGATGTGACAAAAGACATACTGTAGTTCACTGTATGATGTATGTATTCTATTTACATAAAAATACACAAAATGTATTATTAGGAATGAAAAAATAATCCACACTCCTGTGAACAGTCTCGTCAAATACTACCACATGGAAATGCTATTTTAATATTTTATTCTACGCTATAGACAATTGAAGGAGGGTGTAATGAACATTATATAGACAGTGAGAGGAGTGTGTAATTCGTTGCATACACTAGAGACAGTGAGAGGAGAGTGTAATACGTTACATACACTATAGACAGTGAGAGGAGGGTGTGATACGTTACATACACTATATAGACAGTGAGAGGAGGGTGTAATACGTTGCATACAGTATAGACAGTGAGAGGAGGGGGTAATACGTTACATACACTATAGACAGTGAGAGGAGGGGGTGATACGGTACATACACTATAGACAGTGAGAGGAGGGTGTGGTACGTTACATACACTAAAAACAGTGAGAGGAGGGTGTATACGTTACATACACTATAGACAGTGAGAGGAGTGTGTAATACGTGGCATACACTATAGACAGTGAGAGGAGGGTATAATACGTTACATACACTATAGACAGTCAGAGGAGGGTGTGGTACGTTACATACACTATATAGACAGTGAGAGGAGGGGGTAATACGTTACATACAATATAGACAGTAAGAGGAGGGTGTGATACGTTACATACAATATAGGCAGTGATAGGAGGGTGTAACACGTTACATACACTATAGACAGTGAGAGGAGGATGCGATATGTTACATACACTATAGACAGTGAGAGGAGTGTGTAATACGTGGCATACACTATAGACAGTGAGAGGAGGGTATAATACGTTACATACACTATAGACAGTCAGAGGAGGGTGTGGTACGTTACATACACTATATAGACAGTGAGAGAAGGGTGTAACACGTTGCATACACTATAGACAGTGAGAGGAGGGGGTGATACGGTACATACACTATAGACAGTGAGAGGAGGGTGTAATACGTTACATACAATATAGACAGTAAGAGGAGTGTGTGATACGTTACATACAATATAGGCAGTGAGAGGAGGGTGTAACACGTTACATACACTATAGATATTGAAAGGAGGGTGTAATACGTTACATACACTATAGACAGTGAGAGGAGGATGCGATATGTTACATACACTATAGACAGTGAGAGGAGGGTGTGATACGTTACATACACTATAGACAGTGAGAGGAGGGTGTAATACGTTACATACACTATAGACAGTGATAGGAGGGTGTAATACGTTACATACAGTAATGGTATAGACAGTGAGAGGAGGGTGTAATACGTTGCATACACTATAGACAGTGAGAGGAGGGTGTACTACGTTACATACACTATGGACAGTGAGATGAGGGTGTTATACGTTACATACTGTTACAGTATAGACAGTTGGAGGAGGGTGTAATACGTTACATACTTAGACAGAGAGAGGAGGGTGTAATACGTTACATACACTAAAGACAGTGAGAGGAGGGAGTAACACGTTACATACACTAAAGACAGTGAGAGGAGGGAGTAACACGTTACATACACTATAGATATTGAAAGGAGGGTGTAATTCGTTACATACACTATAGACAGTGAGAGGAGGGGGTAACACGTTACATACACTATAGACAGTGAGAGGAGGGGGTGATACGTTACATACACTATATACAGTGAGAGGAGGGTGTGATACGTTACATACACTAAAACCAGTGAGAGGAGGGTGTTATACGTTACATACACTATAGACATTGAGAGTAGGGTGTAATACGTTACATACACTATAGACAGAGAGAGGAGGATGCGATATGTTACATACACTATAGACAGTGAGAGGAGGGAGTGATACGTTACATACACTAAAAACAGTGAGAGGAGGGTGTAATTCGTTACATACACTATAGACAGTGAGAGGAGGGGGTGATGCGTTACATACACTAAAAACAGTGAGAGGAGGGTGTGATACGTTACATACTCTAAAAACAGTGAGAGGAGGGTGTTATACGTTACATACACTATAGACATTGAGAGTAGGGTGTACTACGTTACATACACTATAGACAGTGAGAGGAAGGTGTAATACGTTGCATACACTATAGACAGTGAGAGGAGGGTGTGATACGTTACATACTCTAAAAACAGTGAGAGGAGGGTGTTATACGTTGCATACACTATAGACAGTGAGAGGAGGGTATAATTCGTTACATACACTATAGACAGTGAGAGGAGGATGCGATATGTTACATACACTATAGACAGTGAGAGGAGGGTGTAACACGTTACACACAGTATAGACAGTGAGAGGAGGGTGTAACACGTTACACACAGTATAGACAGTGAGAGGAGGGTGTAACACGTTACATACACTAAAGACAGTGAGAGGAGGGAGTAACACGTTACATACAGTATAGACAGTGAGAGGAGGGTGTAATACGTTGCATACACTATAGACAGTGGGAGGAGGGTGTAATACGTTACATACACTATAGACAGTTAGAGGAGGGTGTAACACGTTACATACACTATAGACAGTGAGAGGAGGGTGTAATACGTTACATACACTATGGACAGTGAGATGAGGGTGTGATACGTTACATACTGTTACAGTATAGACAGTGGGAGGAGGGTGTAATACGTTACATACTTAGACAGAGAGAGGAGGGTGTAATACGTTACATACACTAAAGACAGTGAGAGGAGGGTGTGATACGTTACATACACTATAGACAGTGAGAGGAGGGTGTAATACGTTACATACACTATAGACAGTGAGAGGAGGGTGTGATACGTTACATACACTATAGACAGTGATAGGAGGGTGTAATACGTTACATACAGTAATGGTATAGACAGTGAGAGGAGGGTGTAATACGTTACATACACTATTGACAGTGAGATGAGGGTGTGATACGTTACCTACACTATAGACAGTGAGAGGAGGGTGTAATACGTTACATACACTATTGACAGTGAGATGAGGGTGTGATACGTTACCTACACTATAGACAGTGAGAGGAGGGGGTAATACGTTACATACACTATGGACAGTGAGATGAGGGTGTGATACGTTACATACTGTTACAGTATAGACAGTTGGAGGAGGGTGTAATACGTTACATACTTAGACAGAGAGAGGAGGGGGTAATACGTTACATACACTATAGACAGTGATAGGAGGGTGTAATACGTTGCATACAGTAATGGTATAGACAGTGAGAGGAGGGTGTAATACGTTACATACACTATGGACAGTGAGATGAGGGTGTGATACGTTACATACTGTTACAGTATAGACAGTTGGAGGAGGGTGTAATACGTTACATACTTAGACAGAGAGAGGAGGGTGTAATACGTTACATACACTATAGACGGTGAGAGGAGGGTGTACAAAGACACTCGCAAGGACACACTCACACCTAACTCGCACACACCACAACCACCACCACCATCATCATCATCAAAATGTGATATCATGCGGATTGTGTCTCACCTAAAATTGAAATATTTTATATACGCAAAATCTTGAATTCGGGCATATTTCTTAATATGACTTAACATTATCCGTATAATGTAATACTTGATCGGATAATCTATTATTAGAGATAAGAAAAATAATACAAGTAAATTAATGAAATGTGTTCGAAAATTTCAAATAAAACCCTTTGTTTTCTCAAGTCAGTAGATCTACAGAGAGCCAGTCGACTGTTATATACAGAGACGTAATATATGCGTCTCTGTGCAATATAAAGGTCGACTGGATCTCTGTAGATCTACCGTCTAGGGTGTTATAAAAGAAATTGTTCAAGCCATAACTGGCATAAGACGAGAATAGTACAAAATAAAGAATGAGTTCACATCACTGACAACAACCAATCACAAATCAACGTACATCATCTATTGTATATATGTATTAAACTCGACTGTGAACAAACAACTCGACAACAGTCCTTCGGGCACCTTGCGAATTTGATTTCCGCGCCAAATCGGTTGTCATCTTGTGTGTCTGCGAGCGATTTGAATGTAGTCCCAGTTGCTTGGCGTATCATATTATGTAATGCATACAATCATACGCGCTTATTGTAAGTGAGGAATTAAGGTAAAGTATTGCAAAAACTATTTCTCAATTTGAATTTCCATTAGGAAAAAATGTACAAAATTTATAAAAAGAATAACGATAATGGCTGATTTAGCAGATATAAGTGGAACTATATTTTGCGATGTATTCATATCCGGTAGATTTTGGGGTCAGCTGGAAATGAAAAACTAGACGAATTACGTGGTTACTGAATAGACGTCATGTAATTTAATCGACATCAACAGGTATTTAAAGTGTTACCGTTATATTGATATGTGCGACTATAACCATGAGGATTTAAAATGAAGACAGGCTATGCCTTGTAAAAACGATGCTCGAGTAGAACCTCGGCTCGCAGGTAAGGAAGTCAAAAATTAGGACCACCGATGCATATCTGCATCTTTACGATTTCAATGTCTTTTCCAGCCATCCTATAATTTACGAAGCACACAATGTTTATTTCGTTTTTATTCCAACTTAATAATATATTGTTTTCCCGATCTGTGGAAAGTTTAAGCTAATGTGTCGATAACAATGTCTAAAACGTCTGCTTATCGAGAACGACCCATGGATATCTACTGATCCAGGACGTTATGTTTCTCGGTAAATATACCGCCTCTAAAATGAAATATTATTATAGATAAAACTTGGTTTAGAGACGATACAAATTTTGTAAAATAATTTGTTTAAACCAGCTTGGAATACTACATTGATACCGTAGATGTTCTGGTCTGCTGGATCTGTCAATGTTATGGTCGCAGTTATTGGCTTTCGTCCTGACAGGTTGGCGGGGTAACGAAATATAGACCAATGAATATAGGCTGACCGGGGTTTTCATCGCTTGTTTACAATATCGTATTCATTTTTCGGACCTCCAGACATTTTTTTTTATAAATTAATGTAAATTGGAAATTAAGAGGGAAACTAACAACTTTGTTGGGTCCCCAAAAACGGAAGACATCCCGGAAGATAACATTGCGTCATTGACTCGACCTTGACCTCGCAAAACCTCGAGCGAAGATTCACACCTGTTCGTTCAACGTGATCATGATGTGTCTTGTTTTAGTAACGAGGAAAATACAGAAGAGTTTTCTAAATTATTTCCTCGTTTTTTGTTAATTTGTTTGTACAAGAATACAATTTAACACTAGAAATGTAAAAATTAATGCCTTCAGACTGCTTGGGTCTGTCTAGGAATGCTGGCACTGTTCCAAACTGACTGTATACAAAGTATACATCTAAACCCTGATCAAATCATTGTTAATTAATGCATTAACATAATCCGCTGAATGAATTGGACAAGACATTCCTATTCAGAAAATTCAGCATCATAAAATATTGTTATATGGCCTATGAACACTAAAAAATGGTCACAAAAAGGAATGCATCAAAACTTGAAGATTTAAAAGTCTTAAAAGATGCAGAAACACTGATAACAAACTGTTTGCAAAAGATGATATCATATCTTGTATAGATCAATGTATTGAATATGTAAACAGATTATTATAAATGGCATAAAATTAATGAGTAACTGTATATCATACTTTGCGTTATTGAAATAATACATTATTTTTCACAGAAGTTTTTTTTTCTATTGGCAAAAATTGTTACAATAGTTTTACTGATGTGGATCGCCTCAGCATAATTAACATTGAAATTATAAGTATCAAATTTATGATTAAAAGTACAAAAACATACTTGATGCTATATAATTAAATGCATAAAAATTGTAGAGGTAACACATCAATAGAATCTGTTGGAAGCATAATCTCCGTGGACATTTAATCATGAATTTACAGTTTTGGGTATATTATATGTTGTAGGTATGGACCCTTTCCTAAACGAACCAAGATGTTCCTCTGCAGTCTTCCATTCGTTGACTGTGCCCTGCCAGGGTACAGTTGAAGAATTGGAATAAGGCAGGACATCTCCATCACGACAACGGCAGCTACAATCACATTTCACAATGATCCATTTATCATTTCTGGGAGCTGGCAGTAACTCCAGAAGGCATCAACGATGTCCCAGTCAATTCAGAATTTTCTATGGTGGTGGTAGTTCTATCAAACCAATGGATTCAAACCCTTGCTTGTAGACCTAAAGGTCAAATATTAACTGAAGGCTAAGAAAAAACTTGCTTTGCTCTCATGAGGTACCTGGAGAAGCAGGTACACATGGAGACCTTGCATATGCCATCGGTCCAGGTATGGTTGGGGAATGAGCTAGAAAGTAGGGGTATTGACTCCATAATCTACTCGCGCCACATAATCCAATTACTGCAGCAAGATGATGATGAAGAGATTGACTGTCCAGACTACTTTGATTTCAACAAATATAAACCTCAAGTGAACAAGAAAGGCAAAGTCAAGAAGCCAGAGAAAGTGAACCAAGCAAATTCGGAAAAAACAGAAGACAGAAAAAAGAATGCAGCCATTGAATGTCTTCAGGCAGCTGTGTCAGAAGAGGTGAGAAGTTTGCTAAGTCAAATGTAATTACCACTTGACCAGTAGTGTTGGAATTTCACGATTAATGATTGGTTGTGCAAACAAAGCTAGGAAAGATAAATATCATTTCTTAATCAATCAAATAGTGGCTGATGTCAAAAGGTATCGTTACAAAACTTTTGCATGACAGAAAAAAATGACTTCAGTAGAATTAAAAAGCTAATCTTGTAATGGAATAATGGCAAATACCTAGAAAATTTGAACTATAAACATACAATATTCATTAATGAATTCCTGCTTGATTCATGATCAGTTGATCATTGTTTTGAAGTGTTGTGTATCTAGAATAATTGCCCAATGTGTAATATAATTTTGTGCTAATTTTCAGGACACTGGTATTGAGGTTTTGGTTGAAGAGTTGTGTACAAAGCTGAAAGAAGTTTGTAAACCAGCAAGTAAGTACCATTATATTTATTCTGTTTATGTATCGTTGGATATTTAGATTTTAGTAATTGCTAATCAGCAATAATTATTAATTTGCAAGGGAATGTAGTTGGAGCAGTTATGGCTAGCTTATTTATTTATTTTTGTAAACTTTGAAATATTGCCGAGAACTTTGGGGCAGATAGCACCATTTTCTATGGGAATGGGATTGGCATAAATTTGGCCTAAAATGTCCCCGCCTTCTCCTTGGGGAAATAGCCACATGCACCTTTACATGTACATCACTTAGCATATTACAAATTCCTTATATCAGTTTAATTTACTGTAGTAATTCGATATTGCATTTGTAATGATTTATTGTTTTGACTATAATAAACGTATACATGCACATGGTAACTTTTAGAATTAACTTTATGTATGTTTTCAGACCCTGAAGACTCTGAAGTTTTGCAGCTCTCTGATAGTTCAACCACTACTGATGAAACTGATACATCCAACAGCAGCCCAGATCCAGCTGAAAGGTGCTTAATTAATTTGCACCTGAAAACAAAGGGTTTTAGCTTTTTTGTGGAATCTGATTTTAGTTTTTATATTGCATGGTAGGTAAACCAAGCAAGAGCAATAGCATTGGGCAGCAACTTTAATCTAACATCCATTGTAATGCCCAATCCCCAATGGAAGTGTCGCTAGATGCCGCCACACAGTTTCAATGTACCGGTATTTTTGCTCTGGACACTTCTACATGACCTCTTTCCAAGCTCCTCTTGATATCGTTGTGACTGGTGATGTTCATAACTAAATCACAGAAAACACCCCTGACTGATTAAATTTTAATCTAAGTCATGGTAACTTTGGCAATTACCGTAATGATTAATTGGAGATCAATTTTAAGATGAATAAATGACATGGTATTTGATTGGTTTAGAGCGGAGAAGACCAAGGGATTTTTGGGATTAACTGGGAAAAGGCCTCTGATGTTAATTTGGAAAATGATTTACCTATCCACTGTCAGTTTGATCCAGGGGAAAATCATTGATATGTTGCAATTGCAGGGGTCGACACTAACACTAGTCTGCTAGTCTTGGACTAGTAGATTTCAGCAAGGACTAGTGAATCACCTAACCTAACTGGTCCTTTGGACTTGTGAAAAATAAGAATATTACTTTCTAAAATTTAGAAAACTGCTTGAAATAAGATCAATTGCATTATAATCGTCAAAATTTACCTAAAATTCCTCATATTTATATGGCAGTAGATATTTAGGTCCTCTACAATCGATTACTTTTGATGTTTTGTGCTGTAGATCGCAATGTTTCCTTATGATGAAATCTTGGACTAGTTACATTGACGAAGGACTAGTAATACAATTTCTTCAACAAACAAAAAAAGTTAGTGTCTATCCCTGAATTGGCTTGCTGTGTGTCTGTAAATATCAACATGCAGCACTTGTTTAACTTTTCTTCTTTTTCTTCCTCTCAATTTTCAGTCACAATTTCCAAAAAAAATATCTTCTTACCATGCATTTCTGACTTTTGTAAATTATACAGAAACATTATTAAGTAGCTATAACAACAAATAAGCATAGAAAATTTGGAAAAAAAAGTGTTTCAGTCCTTGTGCAGTTAATTTCTATCTGTTGAAGAAAGGTAGGTGGTATTACGATGGTAATTTTAGAAATACTGAAGCCATGTCTGAAATATTATATGTTTAATTCGCAGGTATTATGCCGCTTTCCCAGCATTACATGGACAGGAAAAACCAGAATGCAGTGACTTTTCATCGCCCTACAATCAAGACAGTGTTGATGTATGGAGGAAAAATCCCATCACAAAGTCCACTGGTGAAAGCTTAAGTGTTAATTTTGACTCGGGAAACGAATCAGAAAAAGAAAGTAAACAAAGAGCGCGTAGAGACAAAGGAACCAAAACAAGAAGTGAATCTAGACAAAACAAAAGCAGTAAGAAAAGGAAATCGGCTCGTCATCAGGGAAGAATTGGTGGGAAAAACAGTGACAGCATTGGAAAGTTTTGTCGTTTTGCAAATTGGTCTCAAGATTGGAACTATGATTCAGATTCAGCCATTGACTATCATCAAGAACTTACCATGGACAAAGAAAGAGAGCTATGTAGCCAAGTTGAAAACCTTCTGAGAGAAATACTTCTTCCAGGCTCTAAACATGGTGATTTCCTGGGGAAAACTGGAAGACCTTATTATAAAACAGCACCTGCCTCACTATCAGAGGAGCGATTCAGTCCTGAAGTTCAGGAGAAAGATTTCTGGTATACCCAACCGTTCGATGAGTTGTTTGAAGCTGAGGATGAATCTACTCCATTTCATCAACGATTGTACAAAAGGCACAGCTATCCCTCATTTGAATGCTTCAATCAGACCAATGACCAAGACATTCTGAGCACCACGTCTAGTCCATCCAAGAAATGTGAGAGGGATATTGACGCAAATGTTGAACAACACATAGATAGTGGAAAGGAAAGCAGGAAAGCTGTCGAAGGGACTCCTGATTTAGACACACTGGTTATGAAAGACAACGATGAAGGTCAAGAAAGCCTCGGCTTGCAGTTACTTAGCCTTGAAGATATCAATAACAGGAATTCAGTATTCAAGGACAGCGATGCATTTGGTCTGCAGGAATTAAGCCTGGAGGAAAATACAAGCTTAGATAATGATGACAGTTTTGGTCTGCAGTCTTTGATGGTGGAGCAAGAATGTTTTGAAAATCTATTGGAAGAAAAAAATCCACCAGAAAAGGATATTTTTGTTATGCCTGAAGGAGAACTTGTTCCAGATGCCCTCGCCCACCCAAATCATTTATCATATTTCTTGTCATCATCCCCTTGGACAGCTACTGAAAAAGATTTCAGAGAAGTTGTTGTGCCACATAAAGATGAAGCAGAGAAGAAGAAACTAGAAAATGAGTCCAATTATGCATCACCTGTTCAAAACAGTCTTACATATTACCAGACTACAAGAAACCAAGACGAAGTTGGCTATGTGGTCCCAGATGAATTTGAAAATGACAAGTCTAAGATCAACTGTGACCATTACAGGGAAGACAACTTGCCTTTCAAGGGTTCTTCATCATCTCTGTTTGATCCTGTGTTAAAGTCCAACACAGATTCCTCTACCTCATCCAACTCGTCAGCTTCGGTGACTACCATGATGGAGCACAGACCCAACATTGACTGGATGTCACACCACTCGGACGAGAAGACTTCAGTCCCAGACTATGATTCATTCACCCATCCATTTTCATCATTATATACTTCCTTTCAGTCCACAGACTTTCTGTCTCCAGCATCCAATGTAGTTGATCATGAGATCTCCATACCAGTCAGTAGTAACGAACCATCTCAGATGAGTGTCTGGCCCAACAAATTTCTCTTTGGCAGAGATACTGATGTTGATGACAGTTCAGCTATAGGTTGGGATATGAGTAGCAGTCCACAACTGTCTTTTGGTGGAAAAGCATCACAGCTCTGGGATGTCAACTACCAAGGGAAGAAAATGCTTGGATTTGCATATCCATGGAAACCGTTTCAGCACCTCGATCACATACAGGAGACTTCCACTGAATCAAATATTATGCAAAGTGTAAACTTCATGGGAAACAACCAATCTGATGATGATACATCCCTCAACACCCTGATCCCACAAATAACTTTTTCCTTAATTTCTGAAGAAGAAGAAAGTGCTTTCATGAATGACGATAGTGATGGAGAAAATGAAGATCAACATTTGTTTTCCCATGACTACAGAAAGGATTTTGACCGAAGTTTTTCATTGAATGAACTTTCGTCACTGAGGTCAAAAGCAGAATCTGTGACTTCCAATTCTCAGCTTTCGAAAAGTTTTGAACTTGTACCGTCTGAACATTCAGCTTTTCAGGATGTCGTACCAAGGAGAATACAGCATGCTGTAAGTGAACCAAACCTTCAGCAATACCATCTTGACAGCAATCGGAATGAACCCAAGTTTTTTGATGAATGTTTGTCTCTTACACCAAAAAAGAAAATGGAATCCAGCAGTCCAAAAGAACATCTGTTTTTCTCCCCAAAGACTCATTTTCAGCCAATCCAGACACCAGTGGAAAAGAATGGTGATACAGCCTCAGATGCTTCCTCTTCAGACTTCCATTTGCGAGATCTGTTTGGAGGCTGCCCCAAAACATCGAAAACACCCTATCAAAAGTTCCAAGATGTTGGATCGGACTCCAGTGAAGAAAGTTTCATCCCTATGTTTAAACTAAGGAAGGAGCATGACAAATACATTCAAACCAATACCTCTGTTACTTATCAAACAGCAGAATCAAACTGTGATGGTGAAGAATATGGGAATATATGTAACAAATGTGGGAATTTCATACAGAATAGAAACTGGGAACAGGACGGGGGCCCAGAATGTATCTGTACGGAGTTCTACCAGAATGCTCTTGAGGACTTTGACATCTATGGATATGTTGAAAGCTTGACAGTCTCGGAACAAAACACACCACAGAATGTACCAAAGGAAGTGAAGAATGCTTGTACAGATTCTGGCTATGAAGATTTTGACACAGGAGATACAGGATTTGAAGGTTCAAGAAATGTTAGGTATGCATTTCCTGAAAGATGTGTGCCTCCTGTTGCAAGTATTCCTGCAGGGAATGTCTTTGAATGTATAACTGTTGAGAAGTCCTCTGGAGAGAAACAGGTGTTCAGCAGGGAGGATGGCTGGGTAATGTACAAGGTTGAAGGAGGTTTAGGACTACAGTGCTTAAACGAGGCTCATATACGCAAAAATTTGAAATATGCAAAAGGTGGGAAAGAAGAGGAGGATGTTGAGGGGGATGAGGTAGAAGATGGAGAGGAATTTCTGATGCATCAGGTAGAGGAAGAATGGCTCCTAAACGGGTATTACTGTGAAGGAGAACTGCTTGATGACACAGACAACCTTGACTATCCAGTCTCGCAAAGTGTGTGGAGTACTGGGCAGGACTATACGACGAGGGAAGAACAAATTTTCATGGATCAACAATATTCGGAGAGAGAAGCTTCTGTCGAACCTTACATGAGAAATCTCTCACAGTCCAGCTATTCGGTTAATCCTTTTGCCTCAGATAACGGCATTCTCACGAGACATTTTCTTAAAGAAGATGTGCAACAAAGTGATAGGGAATGCATTCAGAATGATTCAAGTAACATTGGTGAAAGTGTAGGAAATGTGTCCAACTTTACATGTTCCGATAGGCATCACTCTGATAACACTGAATTGACTTATGGAGTAGCCATCGAGGAATGGCAAGATGCTTCTAAACCTGAACCATTCCAGCAGGATGAAGATGTTATAAAGGTTAAACTTGTTTTCCACCAGAGAAAGAATGCACATGCAGACTTGGGCAACCATAATATAAAGTCACAGGTATAGAAAATCAAATGTTTTCAAAGTCTCCAATCTTTATGATAATTCATATGGATTACGGTGTTGTGTAAAAATATTATTTAGAAGTCAAAATTAATTTGAAATACAATCATTTCCATTTAACTCAAATTATTAAAACTTAAATCACACGTACCTTCAAAATAGAATACTGTACAACAAACATTTACATGTACTTAGCACAACTATTATTTAGTGATATTGCATATGATTGATTCACAATCCTGCAGCATAATCTGTATAAATATCATGTTACATACTATTAAAAAAGGATTTAAACCAATACATATGGGGCATTGCATAGGAAATTACACTTATTATTTTTGTATTTTGTAGGAAACTGTTGATCCACAGTTTTTTATGCCAATGCCAAGTCAAGCTGTCTTCTCCACCGATTTGGAAGAGGAGTGGCTGAAAGGAAAACATGATGAAAACGATCTCAACTTACAATCTTTAGTAAAGGGATCAGGTAAAGTCTTATTTATATTTTATATTGAAATGTTTAAAACCTATTATCCAGATACCCAGTTATATGATACTGTTAGGAAAATTCTCCGATGTTATAATTCGTAAATAACCAGTTTTTCCCCTTCTCAAAGTCCATGTAATGGATTGCAATGGAAAAATGGAGATTGTTCCAAAAGTTAATTTGTTCTTGATAGTTTCCAACCATTCTCCTACTTATTTAGCAGTTGTTTATATATGCTAGCTTGCATCTTAGATTGAAAAGTCATTCAAAACAAATAAATACAATTTTTGTTGGTTGGTTGCTGCTTCAACATTGCCTTTATTTACCATGCATTCTTGTCAAAACACATGGAACAGAATAAGTATAATTGTAAATGCAGACTTTTAAAGCAGACAGCTAGTTTGATCAGAATCTCTGGTTTATGTAAAGAGTGCCATTGGGTTAAAATCATATAAATGCCTGTGTTACAAAATGTAAATGGATTTGTTTTCTATCACTGCAACCAACTTAATTATATCATGATGCCTTTATAATCCATTATTATTCTTTGTGTGTCCATTGTTATGTGAAGGTGGGAAAAAGAAACCCTGTAGCTTCTTCATGGAGGGAGTCTGTCGACGCATGGACTGTAAATTTGTCCACGATGTGTCCAACATCACCTGCAGGTTCTGGGCAGAAGGAGATTGCTTTAAAGCAGAGATGTGTCCATTCCTGCATGGATATTATCCAAAGTCAGTAAACACTCTTTTTATTAAAGCTACATTTATGAATCAATGTGTTAATATTGAAATATAAGAGTTCTTCATTAGTTATCAGTACTGATGGCAGTATATATTCAATATTTGTCTCTGGGTGTTGGAATTGCTCTCTGGTTAAATGTGTCAAAACGATAAAAATTAATCATGTTTTACAGTATAACTGTAACAAATGTTACTGAATTTTACTACAGTTGATATATGGGTGCCTGATGGAAACTAACAATACTTCATATTAAAATATTTGTATTATTAGGGCCCCGAGACGGAGATCTATGCAGGTGCCCTATTGTAATCATGATGTCTGTCCTTCCAAACTTTCATTCTTCAAATCTAAAAGAGAGATCTTTTTAAATTTGAAAGGGGTTTGAACATTATCTTAGCTCAAGATCACTATTACTTTAAATACACCTTGGAGGTAAACGTTACAGTTCTTATCTCAGAATCCAAAATTCTTATCTTTTTTTTTTAATTTGACATGGGAATACTCTGTGATATGTAGATGTGCAATAGGGGTTTTCAAAGGTTTCCCAGGTCAAGGGCAAGACTACTGTTAATAAAAAAAATTAGACTGGGNAAAAAAAAAAAAAAAAAAAAAAAAAAAAAAAAAAAAAAAAAATGGGGGGGGGGGGGGGGGGGGGGGGGGGGGGGGGGGGGGGTGCTCCCTTATTTTGGAATCCACATGATTAATCTTTTGAAACTTAACATGATTGTATACAGTGATATGTAAATGTAGAATAGGGATTCAAAACTTTCTAAGGTCAAGTTCACTGTTACTAAAAAAAGACATTGGACACGGGTACGGTCAGACACATCGTGTGGAGCCCTTGTCAACTTGTCGGTGTTCTAGTTGGCCCTAGGAAATGAATTATTGTAAAGGTGGTGGTCACATAAAAGTTTGCGCCCCAACCACCACCCCACTTGGATAAAAAAAGGACTGAACTTTCATTAAAATCTGTAAAGTTTTGTGTTACAACTATTCATGTGAAATCTTTGCAGATATTTTAGTAATATCAATATAACATTTGACAGAAATTTATTATCTTTTGTTGCTCAAAATTTAATGTCATTATAAAATTATGTGTTGCAGGGTTAAAGGTGGCGCTTCAGGTAGTAAATCAAAAGGTACAAAATTTGAATTGCGAGTGGATGATTTCCCAGATTTGAGGAAGGTTTGTACATTCTTCATGGATAATTCTGAATTATTTGAAAGACAGAAAATAGTTACAAACAAATTCTAGACCAGGTGTACATGTAGCCAATACTGAAACATACAAAATACAGTAACATATAAAATAATTTTATGAGACAAACAATATACATGACTTTGATCTGCACATTCATATATCCTAAAATACTGAGTATGAGAAATACTCCATTCAGTTCATCTTCTGTGTGTTTCCCTCGGGTCAAAGTCATCATTATGGTGAAGTCAATATTAGTCCTTACACTGCTAACATGTATAAGTTATAGTTCTGCTGTGAAGGAGGAAATAACATGGCAAATAGGGATTTTATAAATAAGGGGTGAATATATCACTGGCAAGAAGTTCTACAACACACTTCAGTAGCAGACACCTGTCCTGTTATATATCATCTTTTGAGTTTTTTTCAAAACAAGTTCCTCAGTGGATTGAGACTGTCAAACGTTTCTGTTCAGGTCGCAAAGGATGGTGATAGCAAGTCCAAGACATTGCATACCAAAAAAAATCCATATTTTGATGCAAAATCAAACAACAAAAACAACAAGAGAGGGCAAATGAAGACGGGAGATAAAGGAACAGCTACTCTTCAAAAGTCACAGGGCGAAGGGAAAACCTCCCTGCAAACCAACATGAAGTGCTCAGCCTTCCCTCGAAAGACTACCTCTAGCAACGCTCCCAAAAACAAACAGTGACTGTGTTTATCTAGTCATTTCAAAAAATATATTTTTTGCTTTGTTGTAATTGAAAGCTTTCTTGGTGGTCTTCAGTAAAAACTTAAGATCACTGTTAGCGGTCAGTTTTTATTACTTGCCAAAAACAAAGCTTCAAAATGCCATCTTTTGTTTGTTCTCTTTAGAATTTATGTTCTATCATGTTAAGATAGATAAATGATGTATATATAAGTTTCGTATGTGTATTATAGAGCTGTTCTTTGTCTAACCAGTGCACACAAAGTCCTTGTGTGAGCCCAGGAGATCATATCCTACAATTATTTTAATTTCCAATTTATTTTTTTTATTTTTTTCCCCCATTATATTTGGTGCTTATTCCCGAAACTTCATTTTATATATTTTGAAAAGTTGGTCACATCATTTTTAATTCCGTTTATTCATAATGTATAAAGACAAGTCACATCGTTTTAATACAATGAAGAAGAATATTTTGAATGATTGTCCTAATATCAGAATTTTTACACCTAAAATATTTTCTATATTTTCGCAGAAAATCAACACATGCATCACGTAGTAGTCTAAATCTTTGCACATGGAGGACAGATCTTAGACAAGCACAAAATCTGAGTAGCATTACTGCATACTTTGGAATTTTTGCCCCATTTTATTTTCGCCTTTTTCTCACTCCGTAAAGTGCAAATTTATTGGTGAAGGGTGAATATTTGACTGGGCAAAAGTTTCCTGGTATGCAGTATTGTTTATGTACTAGAAATTAAAATTCAAGCATCTTGTGTTGGTGTAGACGTAATAACATTCCTCTAATTATAACCGTTGACTGCTCTCACACAACTATGATGTGACTTATCTTAAAAAAAACTATGCTTTAAAAGATCTTCAATATACATTGCCATAATACATAAAATAAAACACCAACCATTCATACACCCATGTATTGGTTAGATTTAGATCCATTTTAATGTAGGTACTGCATTAAATACCATAGATTCCTTGTGTAGTTGTTGATATTTATGTCTCTATATAGTTACCAAAAATCACCAATATAGCCTGAAGCTAACCCTGTTACCAAAAATCACCAATATAGCCTGAAGCTACCCAACAGGGTTGACACAGAGGTAATACATTTCTTAACTATTATTCAAATTTGATTGCAGCATAGAACATTGCACTCAGTTAGACACTTACTTGTGCACCTATATGTACCAGTAACAAATGGAGGTACTGTATATGTTATGATTCAAAACAACTTTATTGTGAGCACCTGCAAGTAGTAAGTTTTGTATAGGTGGAAAAGTGTATAAATGACGTGTATTTTAGCAATGTGTTTGTGGTGTTGAGAAGTATAAATGCTTTATAGATGTAGTACCAAAGAAATACCCTATGTGTATGTATTTTTATTAGTGTTTGTATGTCTGTGGTTTATATGTTAATAACTGATGATTTACCTGGAATGGTAGAGTACAGTGATTTTCAACTTGATATCTTAAGGGCATAGAAGAAGAAATAAAAACTTGTACATTGGGCAAACACTGACGCAAAAAAAATAAAAAATATTCAGTTGACATGTCTTTTTAGATGATACTTGATCATTTAATCTGACAAAACTTCCTGATTAGTTTCACTTAACCCTTTCACCACTGTAGACCATAATGGAATCTTCCAAATTAATGCATGGTAATTCATTTGACCAATATTGATTTTTTTTCTCCCAAAATAGAAATATATGTTATATATATCTTCAATTTATATAAAGGACATAAATTTGTTGTATATTTTCTGGTTTTATTAGAAAAGTATGACCAATGTTGAATGGAAAATCAAGTTACCTTGTTGATTTTGTTGATGATACTTGCACAATAGCTGCAGTTGGGATGAAGAGTATTTGTTTCTTTAAAAAAAAAAACAGACTGAAGTACACTATGAGGGATTTGAGATGAGATATTGGAGAGAAGAAATATATACATGGAAGACTCTAAAGCATAAAAACGCTTTTAAACTTAAAAAAAAAAAAGATAATTCGGCACATCTCAAGTGTTCTGCATGTATTTATGTATCGTGCAAGCCCTGAAACTCTATTTAAAGATATATATTTATATGTTTGTGTATATAAACTATCAATGTGACCTAGTAGAATAATCTACTCTGCAAATCCCTGCTACATTTGTTTCCAAGGGGAAATTTGCCTCCACTGTATTTTTAAACAATTATAAGACTAGTCGTGAAGATTGTAATGGAAATGTCTGCTTGGTAGTATTCCAGTGAATTGATTCTCTTTACATAGAAAATACTTTTTAATGACAGAAGTGGAAGAAATATTAACTTCCTGAGAATTATATATAATTTCTGACATTGAACTAGTTTGTATATTTTGCATGCAGTAAAAAGCACTTTGAAAGGACAAACCATGAAGTAACTTCAATATTGGTTACCATGATAAAGGGTGGTTCCCTTGAAAATATATCTGTCAGAAAGATTTGTAGGAATTACAGTACAAATGTTTTAAACTGATCTTGCCATTACTGGAATATTGCCAAGCCCAAAAGCAGTTTTGTTGTTGAGAAAAGCATGCATTGTTCAAGGGGAATTCTTTGTAGCCAGGCCTGGTGAAATTTCCTAGATAATGTAAGGAAATGTTACTAAATTCAAAAGATACATTGAATTTTGTTTACTTTGTTTAAAAAATCCTTGCTGAAACTTTTCATCTAATTAATTGAAATAAATAACGGTGTTTGTTTGCACATGCCTGGTATATACTGCATAGTGCGAAATCTGTGTACAGAATGGTTTTCTGTTAAACCTATGAAGTAGATATGCAATAAGATCATTGTGTAACTTTGGCGCTGTTGACTCAGTTTTTGTGATGAGCCGTATGATAATGATGTACCAGGTAGATAGATGTGATTCAACCAAAATAAATAGAGAAGAGTGTGAATTTCACAATGGGTTCATGAAATAAGTGCTGGCTATGAGGGAATTCTACTTGGAATAGATAAGCATCTCGGCAATAGTGCCAGTACTTCGCTTGTCCAATCAAGTTGTTTTGGCAAAAAAAACCATATGAATTCTCGACAACAATCTTGTAACTACATTTAATAAATGGCATTTCTCTACTGCAGATTGTATAATCCTCTGCTTTAGGAAATATATAAAATAAATTGTGATATCTTGTGTTATGTGTATCAGTTTAATATATTAAATAGTTGTATGGAGGGATTAGTTGTGTGTGAAAAGATTTGAATGAATGTTACGTCTATGTAGAAGATATTCAAAAGAGAAGATTAGTTAAGATTTATAACCATTTTTGTGAGTTCAGCCTCAAGTTTGACCTATAATCTTAAGTAAGTAGGTTATAGGAGAGGATTAACTTGTGAGGATTAATATAAAAGGAATTCATCATCCGTAACTCTATGACCAGAAATATTTAAAAAAAAAAAAAAGATGGTTAATGCGACACCAGGTGGTGTTTTTCCACACCAAAATCATATAGAATATAACGCTTGGCCAGGGGGTGATGAAACCTTGACTAGTTGTGTTTGAGATATTTATATATGTGGTTGGATGTATGCGAGTAACAGTTTGTACATGATTAAATTAAGTTGTGGGTGAAAAGCATGTTGAAATGATGGGAAAACTCACTTGTGGGACTGTCGAGAGGTGCTCTCTAAATCTGTGCTGCAATGGAATTGAGGAATAAAATTCTCCCGAATCATTACTATGTTGATATTGACGTCGTGTCAAGGAACAGGTTGTCATTATCAAAGTCAATTTATAATTCTGTGATCATATTGTCGTTATTTAATTGTTAACACTCATTACAAGTGAAAAACAAATTAAATAATTCTTTATAAAAAGGGAAAAAAAGTGTTTCCTCTATTAAATCAATTGTTATAAATTCTCTTGATAGATCTATATAAATTTCCTAAAGAGAATTTATAACAATTGATTTGTTAAAAGATGTGACTCATTACCTCAGTTAATAGTCATTTACAAGAAAACAAAATAATTCAGCACCTTTAACTCATTCACCCCTGGAATAGTTTAATGAACTATTCCAACATTTGAATTTGAAGAGTTCAAATGTGTCTTCAGGGGTGAATGAGTTAAACAAAAAAAGGGTCATTGTCGGTTTTACTCTTTGCAACTCTGCTACATTAAAAAAGAAACTTAAGTAGCTTTGTTCATTACCCGTGTTGATGTTTCATGAACAAAGGCATGGGGTTCCATTGACCCATTAGTGAGCATATAATCAGAGTATCTAGTTAGAATGATAGTACATCTAACATTTCATTCATGTATCTCGGTACCAAGTATGGAGATATTGTAGAATTGAAATTCTTCGTTGTTTAAGATACTTATAAAAAAACTTGCATTCATGCATGATAAAAAACATAAAAACTGTGTCTTTTATCTCTGTTGATAATTTCCTTGTTTAAATTCTTGATGGATTTTAGTTATTAGTCGATGCTTTCCAAAAGTGATTCCCTAAATAGAACAACCTCTTTAATCCAGACTATTGGGTTACATTAGTTACAACACAACAAATAAAAATGTTCTTGATTAAATGAAGCTTTCAGCATTCTTACATTGTGAATGAAATATGAAAGGTAGATTTCAGAATTATTCTGAATCCAGATTTACAAGGTTTTCATAATGGCTGCAGGCTATTCCTGCTAGCCTGATTGTTGTATATACAGTGCAGTTAAGTTTGTTGAATGTTTTGTGTGAATTACATTTCATTATTAATGTTTCCTGTTATTTATATATTGTGTAGATTTATATTGTCATAGTCAATAGTGTTATCAAAAGAATGGCCACTGTGTTTCAAAAAAAAGAGGAAAAACAATCTTTGAAATGTTCACCGTGACATTCCTTTTGTGAGTTCAGACTTATTGTGTAACTAGTTTGCTTATGGTTTAATCCTACTAGAAGAAACAATCTTGAATCATCGCAACATTTAACCCTTTCACCACTGTGGACCATAATGGACTCATTCAGATCATTACATGATAGAGTCTACTAAAGTTACATGGGGATGAAAGGGTAAATATATTTGACATTATTTTCTAGTTCTGAGTTAATAACTGCACAACTAGATAATAATATAGAGGTTAAGATTAGTGTATCACAATGATAATTTCCAAATTTTAGCTTCTAATTCTTAAGATTATGTTTGTAAAGAAATATATAAATGAAGCAATAGTTATAAAACAGTTATTTATGTATTGTTTAACAAAACAAAACAAAACATTAGAAGGTATTCTTTGTAGGGTCTGTAAGTACAACCTGTAGAACAACCAAGTTAACCCTGAAGTGGTTGAGATACACTTTTTTGTAGACAGGGTTTTGTTTAAATAAAGGAAAGGAACTCTCAAAGATAGTAACAACCAGTATTTAAAGAAACAATAGTGATGATGTGTCTGTAGAAACTCTCTAATTGTTAACATGTACCTTAAAAATTAAAAATAAATCATTTAGGTTTATAAAACAATTTCACCTTGTCAAACAGTTGCAGTTTAATGACAGATGTGTCCTTTTATAACTTGTGTTTTTCTCCAAGACATTTGTTTCTACATGTGTTTCAACAATGCCCCATTTGCATCCCAGCGACTTGATTTTATTTTATTGTCCAAAGGGTAGATAACTGTGCCGTTTTGTTGAATTGTACCTTTGAATGTACGACAATGGCATCTACATATAACGTGTTATTGTTTCTTCCTTGATTGTTTGCGTAGTGCTTGTATTTATATAATACTCATTATTGTCGTCCTTTTGTACAGATCATTGTTATCTAGTCCTCCTGTTCGCCTTTTGTTATTGGAATCTGGTGTTAATTTTCGCCCGAAGATGTCTTGCGTAGTTCACATGTATCTCGGTGTTTAGCCATACACATGTGTATTGACAGTCGCCAGTGTTGTCGGCTGTCGTAGAGATCAAGCAAGATGTCTTTACTATATCTGTCTATTATTCTGTCAACCATGTTATCAGATTTTTGTCCAATTTTTAAACATTCTGTATTGATAATCTGCAAAAAATGACCTTGGTGTTTCTTTTGCAGAATTGTTTATCTCACCATTTTTTTCAGAGTTTCATCTCATTTCTAATATGTGTGTTGCATGTGATACGTATTGCCTTTCTGCTCATAGAATCATAAAATAAATGTGTATTATTACTGTTCTCTGATTTTTAAGCAATATATACAGAAGTTTGTATAAAAAATTTATGTCAAGGCAACAGTGTTTTTAACAGTTCCTTTCATTTCATCATAATAATTTAAAGTATTTAAACCTAACTAAATTCTCATGGTACATTTTATTTTTTTGTAAATGCCACGTTCAACTTTTTGTACATTGAAATTTTGATTTCTCATGATTTTTTATTGCACATTTGAAATGTTGCATTCCTTCCCAATTGATATGCAGAGCATGTTTATACACGCTTTTCCATATATATGATCCATCATATTTGAAATCGAACAACAATTTTCACCAAGTGATGTCAAATAATACAACGATCTACAGACTGTTTTCTGCTTCCTCATTACTTTTTTTGTTTATTTTAATGTCACAGTTATGTAAAGACCATGGGAAAAACATGTTTTCTTACTTGGAAATATAGTAAGGAGACTTTGAAAAGGACTTTTAGCAATGAAGAATCTCACAGTTGTGTTTTGTTCACTTTTTGAAACTTCTGCAATTGTAGTTTAAAAATTATAGTATAAATAACCTATTTAAACAGAAAATCTGTATTACAGACTTGTTTAGGCTAGTGTCGTTACCTGTTGCAGTTTTGCAGAGTAATACCAATAATTGATATACATTTGTTCTGTATTAGTTATTGTCTATAAAACATGTAAAGGCATGACAGAATATTCAGAAAAAATGATGAACCTTCTGTAGATCACATTTAATTTCTTGAGATTGGTGATTTGTTTTGAATGAATAGTCCATCATGAAATATACCTGAGTTACAGCGCTTTTTTTCCTATGGGTTTAAGAAGAGGCCCATTCTGTGTGTAGTCCTATTTTGCCTGTGTAAGGTTTCTGTTATATTTGTTGTATAGGTCAGTGTTAGTCGGCATACATGTATAGGATTATATTGTCAGGATTTAATGCGACCTGATGTTCATAGCTAAATTCTGTGGCTTGACAACAAAAAAAATTCAGTAGAAAGCTAGATATTTTACATCAACAGGCTTGTCTTTGAAACAAAAAATGAAGACATTTTTTTTCTTTGAAGCAGAACAGAGGCAGAACAAATATTTGTTGTAGGAACATCGGGAAATATTTTGAAATCAACATTCTTTGTATGTTAATAATTTAAACCCCACACATTATTTACTTAATACTAATAGCAATATGTCTGTTGAAACCGATGGTGTAGTGATGATAGTATATAACTAATTTGTACATTTTACACCACCAAAAATTCCATCAATCCTGGTAACCAGTTGATGAATACATGCATTAAGTATTTTTGATTACATGTATTTTGAATTTAAACTGTTATTTATGATATGCGTGTACTGTGTACATCATTTTATGACATGGTTAGATTTCAAGTGTGTTTAAATGAAAAAAAAAAATGTGTTAAAAAGTCTTCACTTAAATTGATGCACATTTATGTCAAGTGTTTTGGATAATTCCCTGTAAATTTCTGACATAGCTATGAAATTTTGCAGTATTTTTATTGACAAAATGTGCTTTTACAATTCAAAAGGCAAAATTTTGCTGCAAACAGTATTTTTTGCTATGAGTTGATAATACATTAGATCAATGTTTGCAATATTTGTATTTGCATGTGTAAACATCTATATTTTCGTAACAACAGGACTTCAAAACCTTATACTTGTGGTCCTGCAAGAATAAGTCCAAACTTTGACTTGCTAAAATAGAAATTCTAGACACAAAATGAAGACTTTATTGTAGCAATAACTACTGCATGCTACCAAACAGTAAGACCTATGTATAAAGGAGGCAGCGAGTAAGCTGTTGTTGAAGCTTACAAAACCTCGGCTGTTATAGGCTGTTATAGGCTGTATAGGCAATCTGTTTTAGAGATTACCGGATATAAACGGTTCTTATGTCAGAGAAAAGAGGTTAGTTTGGTATGTAATTAGAATACTCTAACCAGAACACTAAGGCATAGAGTGATGTCGTTTGGTTGGTGTTGTCCAGTTAATGGACAATTTGTTTTTGTTAGTGAAAACATCACCTGTTGGAGGCGATTCAAATCAGACTCTTCCAGCACCCCGGCCGCATCTCTGTGGCAGAATATTGTGAAGGGGAGGTATGATATTGATTGTCAGAATAAAGAAAAAGTGAAGTGAACAAATGCTTATAGTTTTATTTATGTTAGAAAGGAGCTATCTGTGCAGAGGCTTAATATCTACCGTTATCAGATGGTGGGCTGTTCAAATCACCCTTCGTTCGTGGAAAGTACTGGAGATACCTCAATTTTCACATGAATGCTGTTACGAAAGTCCAAGACGGATGGCCATCTTGAATTTTGAGAGTTCATGTTGTTTATACTATTTTCATAAAAGTAGAAGAGAGATTTGATTCCAACTTCACATCAACGTTACCCATGGTCCTTAGTTACGCATATTACATTTTTGGACTGATTGGAAAAACAAAATGCCTGGCCATCTTCAATTTAGAGGTTGTTTGCGCAGAGACGTATTATACTACAGGATTTTTTTTAGCCCACTCATTAGAGGGGCTATTCAAATCCCTTTCTTCTGTGCTCTGGTCCTTTCTTCTTTGAACAATTATTGTAAGTGTTATATCTCGGAAAATTCAAGCGGACCACGCTCGGCCATTATGGAGCATGCAACAGAAAGGGGCGAAATGATCAGATTGGTTTAAACCTTGGTAATAAAATGCATCAAAGCTTAATTATATGACATAATAAGGAAACAATCAAAATAAAAAAGGCAAAGATGTGAGGTAAACTTGCATTTTTATTGTAAAATATATAAAGCATTAATAACTGGTGCTTTTGTTAATGTAAACATATACTTTTGTAAATAGTTCGTGTAAAACAATAAAAATGTAAATGCACAAACAACACAGATCTATATATATATATGAATAGTCACTAACTTGGATAAGTTCACAAACATTCTATTAAGTCATGATTAAGTTTAAATGCAACGGTGAGTACTCTGGACTGGCAGTACATTTGTACAAACATGGTTACAATATGTAATTACATAATAATGCATCTTATAAAGATTACTATTAACACGCACCTTTTTGTTGTGCCCAATATTAGCGTACTTAATAAGCGAAACTGCGATTACCGTGGTTCATTTGCATATGTATTGTATTTACACATGGGCTTATTATTTTCGCTACCTGCTGCTAACATTAGCGGAATTATTTTAGCTTCGACATTTTTTGGACCGATACGTTCGTCAATAAAATACGTTCTTATCCCATTTGATAAGTGTGGTTAGTTCTTCCCTTCAACTGCCCCGTGAGTCGTACACAGGTTGTAAACCACAATTCAACACACGTAGAAAAAAAGGTATAATAACAAATTTCAAAATCTTTTTTAACAATCCCATTTTGGTTAAAAAAAATCACATTCGAGCTTTGCAAAAATATCCCTGTTTCAATCAATTCAGTTCGATACATATTTTAACATGATCCCTCGTATTTAAATATACAAAGTTTATTACTGATGTTTACATCAAATGTGTTGTTTTTAATTGATTTGCTCAATTCTAATGCGTTAAATCAATGTCAATCGTTAAATCAATGAATCACAGTAATTCATTAGTTAATTAAAAATATGAATATGCTAATTAAGGTACAATTACTTAAGGGCGTATAGTAGGAATACTGATTAAGTGGATATTTTCAAGTCGTCAACGCTGCTGCATTTCAAATTAAAAACCCCACCAATTAAGCATTAATAGATAATGAAACTGGACCAGTCTCTATGTACGTTTACATTAGCGTGTGTAGTCAATTATTAGTGTATGTCATAATTTCGCGCTAATTTAGAGAACTCGAAAGAAGCGAAAATGTTCACACCGTAAAAACGTCCACTTAAACAGTATAAAACGGCCGTAGTTTAATGGCATTATCTGATTGATACAATCTACAAAATAATCAACATTGATAACTTAGTCATCTAAGTAAACTCTGTACATTGCCACGCACGTAGTACGTTGGCGTTATAAAGGGGGTTCCAACATATCGGAGGCAGAATTAAAGTATTGTTTTGAAAATAGGAATGCTGAAACTGATTAGCAACCATGAAGCGAAGTGGCTCTAAGGGAAACAAATGGGGATACATATATCGGGGTTATATTGTATCTATGTTGTATACATTGAAATATCCTATGAAACGAGTGACGTAATATCGATGTTAACAGCTATACTTGGAGTATTATTACATAAAATTTACTATACTGGATTAGTGGGTACAGTGTAAACAAAACAACATGTTAAATGTTACGTACGGCGATAAGGAATGTACACAGGAGTGAAAGTTTACGTACGACAATAAGGAATGTACACAGGAGTGAAAGGTTACGTACGACAATAAGGAATGTACACAGGAGCGAAAGTTTACGTACGACAATAAGGAATGTACACAGGAGTGAAAGGTTACGTACGACAATAAGGAATGTACACAGGAGCGAAAGGTTACGTACGACAATAAGGAATGTACACAGGAGAAAAAGGTTGCGTACGACAATAAGGAATGTACACAGGAGTGAAAAGTTACGTAAGGCGATAAGGAATAACAAAATAATTGGTTAAAACAATATGAAATATTAGTACAGTGTACTGTTATTAATGGTATGTACTGTATATAAATAAAAATAATCAACGACCGTTCACTAGCAATTTAGATACAATTGGACGTAGGAAAGGTATGGAATAATTCAATTGTTTATAAATCGTCTGTAAAGTACCAGTTTATTTTTATATAATTTGTATCGTTATTTTGGTAATCAGATTCACTTAACAGACAATTCAGATTTTACAGACTCTATTTCGGTTTGGTTCTGACGAAATGCGTTTGGATTTTTCTGATTTGTCATAATAAATCTCAAAACTCATTTTTCTGATGTGAATTTCAAATCAAAATAACTTTTGTGACCATCCGAAGATACACATAAAGTTCGCCCACTTGATGAAAATTTAAGGAAAGGGATGATACACTTTCTATATATACTCTTACTTATCACAAATGGAAACTTAAACAACCACGCGACAATGACGAAGCCATCATTTCCTGTAAGCCTAACAATGTCATAAAGCGTTTCAAGTTTTTATACCACCACATGAATAATTATTTTATAATTATCATTATCCAGTATTTAAATTAGATCTGACGTAGCATATTATTTTTTCAATAAGAAAACATTTATGAATAGGAATTTAAATCAAAATATTATCATAAATGAAAAGAAAAGAAGAAATATGCTTGACGATGGTGTGCTTCACCCTCTGACACAATTTTTTGTTTGTAATTTTTTGAATAGAATTATTTTTTGCAATATCTTTTATTGTTTACAATACTTTTGAATTTTCAAACAGACAAGTGTTAATTGAATACTTACGAAAATATTGTTTCTTTAAAATTTGTTTTTAAGTACTATAAGCTCAAAAGTGTTATTCTTTGAACTTGTAGTATTAAGTGCTTTTAAGTGGCTTTCTGTATCATACGTTCCCTTTCTGACGTAGCACATGTAAGAACCAGTGATATCATGAGATATTGAAAATGCATAAGACTTGTCAAGTCCACGTTTTGCGGAGTCATCGTTTATGAAAATTTTCTTTACATATCAAGTGATGGTTAGTTAATATTAACGTGAAAAAAAGGTTACAAAATGTTTGTTAAGTGAACATAAAACATAAATCTTACAACATTCAACATCTTAAACAATTAACAAAAGATAAATGCATGTTGATAACGACATTTTAACGGATTCACAAAGGTTACAAATGTTTAAAGGTCAACTTGACTCATGAAATAATCGTCAATATATTACAAAAATAAATGCATACATGGTAAGGGATAAATCAAATAAACATACAAATATACGACCCTAGAAAAATTTAAAGAAATTAAAATAATGATTGTTTGCTTGTGAAAATTAAATTTACGGAAAGTGCCGACGGTTTCCGAGTGGTTGACGAGATAATGTAACATAGATCTTAACTTAAATAATATTCATATTTCATTAACAAATTGGAATGTATCAGAAGATAAATAAGAAAAGTGTAATAGTTAATGTATAAACAGGCACATGTAAATTATTTAAGATCTAGAATATAGTCCGAGTAAGGCCCGAACTTACGATAGTGTCTGAAAACGTGGAGATAGAAGAAAACTTAAATAGTTAGTATACATGTGGTTCATTTTATCGTAAAGAGCGTCCGAAATTAGGATGTTAGGAACCCTATCTTTGACCATACTCGAGTTCTGCCTTAAGGGGGAATGTAAGGTTAAGGTTAGAGATAAAATGACAAAGGTTAAAGGGTTTGGTTAGTGTTTATACCCCCAAACATATTTTTTGTGTCTTTTTTGTGTCTTATAAAAACGCCGTGGTCTGATCGTATTACAAGTTTTGGTCTGCGTTGTTATTGTATGGCGAGAATCACAGGCGCAGACACCAGGATCTAGACTCTTGATTAAAAAGAATTGGTAAATAATTCATAACATTTGTTATATTTTATCCAAAATCCCTTCAGAAGGATGTGTGTGTCCTTGACCAGAAGGTAATCACGTTCATACCGTTTTCCTGCGGTCGTCTGCTCGTAATTGTTGAGAAGATCTGTTGAGTTCCGGGTTGACTGACTTGGGATACATCTGTTTTCCAGGCGTTGGAAAAGACACATGGCCTGTTTGATCGAGTCATGCATTGACCCTAAGTCCGGAGTAAATTGCCCACCAGAGTAATAATCTTCCTCTCTTATGGTCTGTTCCAGAAATATCATCACGCTTGTCATCTTCTCATAATCACTTAGAAGTGGTGTTGAAATCTAGAAAATATGAAACAGGTTATAAATTAGGACAGAAATCCTGACATAAACTATGAACGATGACGAATGATCACGGGAGCTTGACTAGGTACGTGTAATACATTACTATTTCGTTGATAATTTAGGTTAAGCGTAGAACTCTAAAAAATAAACATTATAAACCATAGTCAGAAACCTAATACGTGTATACATGTAGGTCATTGGAATCATACACATGTATATAAGATATTTAGCGTTCCATAACTTAATTTTTTCTTTTTAGCAGACAAACAAAAGACTTTTAGGCGAAATATAAAACATGATTTTAAACAAGTATTAAGCGTCTGATAAGGCAGCTCCTGCGAATTCCTCAAAATTATATTGATAAATGTATATATATGCTAATTGTATTGATATGATTGTATAAATTGTATATCTATGTACTGTGAAACGCTTTAGAGTAGCTTATTCTAGCTAGCTAGATAAGGCGCTATATCAAATGTTGTATATTATTATAAATGAGAGATGATTCGTTACGGATGTAAGACACTCATTCTGTTGGTCGAAACTTCCGGTAGGAGAAAACATTATGGAACAAGATACGACTTTGTCTCTTTTATTCGGACTCTTTCCGTTATTGTTCCGTGTGTTCAATTTGTACTCGATATTCATTTTAGTAGTTAGGTACGAAAAATCTCCAAAAATAGGAAGGAGACGTCGTAAATGATTACACATATAGCTCATTATAGATCAATTATGGTATTGAAACTTTCACATTTTTTGACACATCTGCTTATTTTTGTAAGTGATATTTTTAAATGATGTGACACTTGAATACCGCTACAACGTCATACTATCTTAAGGACTTCTGACATCGGAGACTTCTGGTCAGAAAATGAGAGGGTCAATCGAACAGGGATATTTTTTGTGGCAAGGAAGAATGGGATGAAATGAGGCGAAAAGGGGAAAAGTCGATAGTGACGTTCTTTCAGCCTCTCGTTGGCTCCGCAGTATTTAGTCGAATTAAACGTAGCGGAGGGGTGGACATGGGTTTGGTAATTGGTATGGGTATAACAAGCAATTTTCGTATTGCAAAGTTTAAGGGAATATTACATGCAGAATTACTAGAATTTCAGTGCATTTAAAATCACTTCTAATATTGCTTAAATGAAAAGTGAGGGACAGTTCTGCAAGTTTCAAAATGAGAGATTAAAATTAATAGGTAGACATCATTAAGTGGATATTAAGACAAATTACCTCACTGCATAGGTCCAAAATGTTCCCGTGAACTAAATCCATGTCGGGAAATCTGGGAACATGTTTGAAAATGTTGTCCAGGTCAAAGTCTAAGCTGCATAACTCGGTGGACGTCTGCCCATTCACGCGGTCGGCTCTCTAGGAAATAGAGGAAGGTTTGGTCAATTTGATAAAATAAAGTTCATTAACAAGAAGACGTACATAGTTCTTTCTATAGATATATATATAGTAACTTGAATGTAAATTGTACGATAGCAGAATATCGATTAAGGCCATCCAAAATTTCACAAGTGTGTCTTGTGAACGATTGTAAAATAATGGAAAATTTCTTTTTAAGAATATTTGATGTAAAATTGAAAGATAGACATCAATATGGCAAGCCAAGTTGTCATTTATGCATGGAGCAATGTTGATCCAGTACTTAACCAAATTATATAAGATATCTTATTTAATTATATAAGATATCTTATATACTTTATGAGATATCTTATATACTTTATAAGATATCTTATATAATAAATGAGATATCTTATATATTTTATAAGATATCTTATATACCTTTCTTTATAAGATATCTCATAAAAGATATAAGATATCTTATATATTATATAAGATATCTCATAAAAGATATAAGATATCTTATAAAGAAAATTAAATGAGATATCTTATATCTTTTAGAAGATATCTTATATAATATATAAGATATCTTATAAACAAAATTAAATGAGATATCTTATATAATTCGGTTATAAGATATCTTATAAAGAACGAGATTTGAATTTGAGATAATAAACCCTCCTCCACAGCGCTCGGTAAAGCATTAAATCGAAAGCCTTAGTTTCGTACGTATCTCTTAACCGGAAATGAAGTATGTGAAAGTGAAAGTAGGAGTTTAATGCCACCAAATAGGTCTGGTTATAGCGGTATTAACATTATTTTAAAAGGTTAAGCTTTATAAAGTAGATGGGGGGTAAGTGGTGGAGAAATGGATGTTCCTATGTATTTCATAACTGAAGGAAAACGATCCTACTGCATGTATTACTTACAATTTATTCATTAAAATGTTTTATCTTGATTTTCTTCACGGATTTCCTCTAAATGTTTTTAAAGAAATTTGATAAAATTGTAATATTACCCGTACAAATTCACAGACAGGTAATTGACATTAAACATATTAGGAACATTTATTAATTGTTTCGGCTGCTTATCACAGACCGCATTAAAGCCATTTTGGTCTCTGTGGAGTATAACATATAGATAGACATGGGGACATTTTTTTTTATTTACTGTTTCAGACTGGTCATACACCTGTATTTATTATCACAGACAGGCTATGTATCTTTAATTATATTGTTTCAGATAAAATTGTTTTAACTATCACAGACATTAAAGAACATACTTATGTATTTGTAATTCTATGTTCTATCAATATACTGTAATGTAAGGAACATTAATTCATTGTTTCAAACTGGTTATAAACTTGTATTTACTTATACTATTACAGACAAGAAGTAATATTTCATTATTTGATACATATGTATACAGATAAGTGATATTTCATCATCAGGTGCATGTTCTTTAAAGTCTTTGAGATATTGATCACTTATAAGATATATTTTGTAGAGATACAATTGTATTTTGTGACCTAAAAGGCATTTCACACAAGCCAGATACATGGTAACACTTACAGCATGTCTGTAGTAGTAATTACATGTGTAATACCTGTCTGTGATAGTATATACATGTGTAATACCTGTCTGTGATAATATATGCATGTGTAATAACTGTCTATAGTAGTAATTACATGTGTATTACCTGTCTGTGATAGTATATACATGTGTAATACCTGTCTGTGATAGTAAATGCATGTGTATGATCTGTCTGTGGTAGTAAATACATGTGCAATACCTGTCTGTGATAGTATATTCATGTGTAATACATGTATGTAGTAGTACATGTTTAATACCTGTCTGTAGTAGTATTTATGTGTAATACCTATCTGTGATAGTATATGCATGTGTAGTACCTGTCTGTAGTTGTAATTACATGTGTAATACCTATCTGTGATAATATATACATGTGTAATACCTGTCTGTAGTAGTAACTACATGTGTAATACCTATCTGTGATAATATATACATGTGTAATACCTGTCAGTAGTAGTAACTACATGTGTTATACCTGGATGTAGTAATATATATATATATAATATATTGCTGAGCATCAAAACTTGGATACACTTTTGTTAGAAAGACTTGTCCTAACTCAGTGCCTCTTGTTTATTATAAAACACAACAAAGATATCTTTATAAAGAAATATTGAGAAGGTTATATAATGATTTGTATACAGATTATACAAACTAGTAAACAGGGTAAATAAGAAGTGGTTTACAGAGTATATAAAGAATGGTATATAGAGAGTGGTATACAGGGTACATAAAAAGTCCTTATTTATTTAGTAAGGGTATCCTCTATAATACAGCCTCATTGCATAAGGTACCTGTATTTATCATCTCTATTATATATAGTGTATTGACTCATTTTCCAGAAGATACAATGTACATGATACAAAGTATATACATGGTATATTTCCGGTAAAGAGGAAAATAAGACATTTCATCTTCAAAAACCTGTAATTGTAGCATATCTCAGGTCTGAAAAAAACAGAGGCAAATCAGTCACTGGGCCAGAGCATTTGGGTGCCAATAGAGGAAGTTTGGGTGTAAAGATAATTAAGATCCCCCACCATGTAACCATCTGAATACATCCATGCTTACATGATTGGCGCCAGGGTCCTGCCCTGCCACAAGGGGCTTATAGTCCCCAAATTTTACATGAAATCAGTAAAGATCCCATCCAAATGCTGCTGGGCATGCAGAGGAAAAACACTCATGATACCAAGATAGTCCCTAATGGAGCCCACCCCATCCCTGAGGACTTACTCCTTCAGTCATAACATGGAAATTGTTGAGATCCCCAAGCTGATATTTCCTGTATGGTAAGAGGTAATCAACAACTTTTAATGAAAAATATTATTCCAGGTGAGCTATTAATAATGTGCCTGTGCTTCTTGTTCTTGAGAGGCCACAATAAGGGAACATAAATGGGAAACTCCAGCACAAGCAAACATGTTATATTTCCTGTGCATGCAATCAATATGAACCAATATCAGACAACTATTATAAAGATGAGGTACCTTACCTACAGAGAATATGGACCTTACATATACCTCATGTATATGTGCATGCATACAAGATGTACTTGATGTATAGGTGTAATCTGATGTATAGAAGGTATATATATACCTGATGCATGGAAGGTGTATATATATACCTGACCTATAGGAGGTGTATACCTGATGTATAGAAGGTATATATACCTGATGCATGGAAGGTGTATACCTGACCTATAGGAGGTGTATACATGATGTATAGAAGGTATATATACCTGATGCATGGAAGGTGTATACCTGACCTATAGGAGGTGTATACATGATGTATAGAAGGTATATACCTGATGTTTAGAAGGTGTATATCTGATGTATATGAGGTGTATATCTTAAGGTTTTTTTTTTCAATTGTCGCCCTTTTACTCTTGGGGAGGGGATACATTTACATGATGTGATCATGTGGACGCTAAGGGCCTGAGGGGCGGAGCCAAAAGGGGCCAAAATAGCTCAAACAATAATTGTCTACTTCCAGATCCAGATATGTTAAAAAACCTTCTCATGGATGGAAATATCCTGATGTGCTTAATCAAAATGTGAATTTCACAACCCCTTGGGTACTAATTCCTCCCTGGTGAGGGGCAAAATTCCCTGCTATACATATATATATATGTAATTTTTATTTTTGACATATCACAACAACAAATAACAATTGCATTACAACTCAGGTGACCTGTTAGGCCCATGGGGCTCTTGTTTTAAAGTACTGTATTAGTTGGATGTGTTGATATTGGCTTCCACTAATAATCCCACTACTTACCTATAATTAGATGTGGGTTACAGGGACATGTCACATGCTTATTAAGTGTGCTGCAAAATATATATATATACTGTGATGCCCATTCATTATATATAATATCTTCCATTGTATATATAAACGAGTACCTGGTAGTATTTGACATGTCCCTATAGACTTAAGGTTATGGAATTATGCACTATAGAAATATTCAAATTTCAAATATTTCATATCAATATGGATTGAGTGTCGGTGCTATATATTTAAAAAAAAAACTGTTCAAAACAGTTGATTCTCAAACAGAATTTGTTCTGTATCAAAAAAAAAAATGTTTTTGGGCTGAAATATCTATCCTAGATGTTATTATTAAAAAGAGTTATACAATACTTATCCACAAGTTTTTGAGTCTTGAACCCAAATGTTAAGCACATGTATCAGTAAACTGAATATTTCTCTTGGAATCTGCTTCAAACTTTGGGGGAAAAGTCCTATTTGTACCATATGCTCCCCTGAGTGATAAAATTAATTTGGAAAAGGAACTGAAATACAAGACATTCTTCATTTTTGAAATTATATCTAAGTTCCCTAAGTTTATGATCTAGTGCCAGTCACTTTTCATAAATAAAGATGATGAGATTAATTTAATATAATAAAATAACCTTGCTATAGTGATATGTACACATATATAGTATAAATATATTTTATTATGAATTTTTTCTTGGACTTAAAATTAACCTAGAGAGGTCAAGTTAGATCAAATGTAAAAATAAGCAGTTAATGTCCTGGGTATAATAAATTGTATTTCATTATAAATATTCTTCGTGTATTTTAGATTTGCTTATATCTGGTAGATTGCAAGATTCTATACCACCAGGTCTAAATTAACATATAGGACAGTCTTTGAAAAATGGGACAAAATCTAAACAAGCTACTTGGGGTGGGCGACTCACTGAGGGTAGGTTAACTAATTTGATTGGTTTGGAAGAACACTGAACAGATGTACATGTCCTTTACCTGTTAACTCACAAAATACATGAACACAAACTTTAAACCATGAATTTATAACACAGGAAAATCAGCAGAAATCAATAAATTTTGCTTACAACAAAGAAGACAAGTGATGTGAATGATAAATGTTGAATCAACTAACTCAGCTTAGCTTTCTGACATCAACTATAAGACAAGACCTCATTAATAATATAAACCAAACCCCTCCCCCCTCCCCAAATCAAACCAAACTAGAATTCTTCAACGAGGCTGTGTACGAAAAATAACATAAATCAAGATGAATTTTAAAATCTCACTTTATATTTGAGTATGTGGTGACTGATTATGACAATATTTCTGCGCTCTTACCGAGTTTGGCATCATTACACCTTCACAATATAAATCCTCAGCAAACTACTTTCATTTGTCTCATTCTGGTTGAAAATGACGTACAACAGATTAATAAATGACAGTGATTCTCACTAATAAGAACTATATCTAAACCTTTGGATTTTAGGCCAACGAAACTAAATTGTCATTTGAATAAATAAACATGTAGCAACTTCACAGACATTTTCTAAGTTCTCAATGGCTCTTTAGAACACTCGAGTTTCTTTCGGAAAAGTTTATAACTCTGGATTATTCCAGCCATTTTAGAATATATTAATGTGTGATTCCTAACACTAATATTTTAAAATGTATGCGTAAATATAATAATTAATATTTGAATATATCAACTAAAATTCTATATTGGTGTTAGTTATACTTCCTGTTGAAAAATAAGCTAGTTTTACACAGCTCCCGTTTATCGGACTCGTGATCTAAGTACAACGGGAGCAGTCATTTTCAAACATTTCTTCTTTGTCGGTCTCGCGAGAGTCTCGTTCTTTATAAGATATCTCATAAACTTTTCTTTATAAGATATCTTATATCTTTTATGAGATATCTTATATAATATATAAGATATCTTATAAAGAAAATTAATTGAGATATCTTATAAAAGATATAAGATATCTTATATATTATATAAGATATCTTATAAAAGATATAAGATATCTTATAAAGAAAAGTTTATGAGATATCTTATATCTTTTATAAGATATCTTATATCTTTTACAAGATATCTTATAAAGTATATAAGATATCTTATAAAAGATATAAGATATCTCATAAACTTAAAATAAGATATCTTATATGTTTATAAGATATCTCATATGTTTATAAGATATCTTATATGTTTATAAGATATCTCATATGTTTATAAGATATCTTATATAATATATAAGATATCTTATATAATATATGAGATATCTTATATAATTTGGTTAAGTACTGGATCAACATTGCTCCATGAATAAATGACAACTTGGCTTGCCATACATCAACGTCCAGGCAAGATGTGGTCTCTGGAAGCATGCGATGGTTTAAGGTTGTGAGAGTACCATTCACATTATCACCATTGTAACTTTAACAAAATATTGTTTAGTCGTTTTGATACAGAAGTGTTCCATCTTGTGGTGTACCTGATAGAATTACAGTTGTTCGATCGAAATTTGAGTAGTTGTATTTGTTAACAACTCATTAATGATAATAATATAGCAGTTTTGAATTGGACCTTTTCTTCGTAATGATAACGAAGTACCTTAAGGCCTAACACATCATTGTATACGTTAGGGCCCATGTATATAGGTGCTACTTTAATACAAAACACTATATCCTACAATAATCAGCTGTTTTATTTTATTATTTCTGATAATAGTTAAAACGGATCTATGATGATGACCCGTGTATAATTGTCTATGGTTAGAACTCGTTGTTGAAATTCGCAAAAGCAACACTTCAGGCGAGAATAAACATCTCGCGAAATCTCTTCAGACGAGTCACATTACGTGAATAGAAATGAGGAAAAAATGCACAACTAAGTACAACTCACATAGCCGTTTCGTAAGTTCCCGATCCGTAACATTGCTTCCTCAAAATGCGTTAAGATGGATTTAACCATACCAGTCCTCTGTCCGGGTGTCAATGACGGAAGGTCGGGCGGTGGGGGGACTGCCGATAGTCCACAAGGGTACCTCCACTTCTCATCATAAGTGGGGGAGATCGGAACACCAACACTAGCGCTAGCGAATATCCCCAGCAACGCTAGAACTCTCAAACAGATATCTGAAACAAATATTTATTCAATCAAAAAATGTATAGCTTAACCAAAAATCGTTTGCAAAATCCACAACGCTTTCACTTAAAATTTAAATAAACGAAACTTGTTTTCATTAATTTTACATCGCATCTGTTTTTTCATACATGCTATATGTACATTGATAGTAAAGGAGGTACACATGTAATTATCACATTTCTAGAAAACAACAAGGTTTTTTACTCGAATAAAAAAAATCTTCTAAATCTTGCAAAGACTAAAGGTAACGCTTCATTTCAAAACAGCAATCGAAAAGACTTTTTCCTTGAAATGAAAAATGCATAGACATTTGAATTGAAATGTTTCTGCAACAGAGAAATGAAAAAGGTCATAATTCGTTTTCCCTTCAATTTACAAATAGGCACGTTTAGCGATAACCTGTCCGAAAACCCTATGAACCAGAACTCAAACTGTGTTGTTCCACGGTATACAATTCCACTAAAACCTAAAACCTGTGGAATCAGACACCTGTATAAACCAGAACCCCCACAGTCAGAAAACATGTTTAAACCAGAATTTTAACTCTATTATTCTAAGGTATACACTTTTATATAAATCAAACATTTGAAACTGTATATCAACCAAGTCCAAAGTGTTTTTTCCAGGTACAATTTTTTTTTTAAAATACTGAACCGTATCTCCTTGGTATTCTGCTTTGCCCCACTCTGCATACTTAAACCTCTGTGAGGAGAAAACCTGTGTATTCTGAACCCTTATGATACAGGAAATTGTCTAAACCAGGCGTTCCTCTAGATCGCACTGAATGTTGTCAAGTTAGATATGTAAGACTATTCCGTACAGTCTTAGTAGTAATGTTTAGATTAGGCAGTGAGGTTTCAGAGGTCATCGTGTCAGACGAGGAATGTTGAACTAAAGACTTCATAAATCATAATGTTTTCATAGGTCGTATATCTTACCTTGCTTCATGGTTTTAAAACACCTTAATTAATTTGCTTAGTAAGAATAAACCTCTCTTTTCCTCAGCTAGTTCTAGTTTAGTGATAAGGTATGGGGTTTTAATCAACTTTTATACCATATTTCTGAAACCTATGTAAAAATCGATTCCTGATTGTGTGGAATTTTATAATAGAGCTAAAAGTGAAATCATCATATCAAAAAATTTACAAACAGTGTTTTGGTTTTACTACTACTACTACGGTTTCGGTAAAAACGAAAGTAAGTCTATTTATAGTAACAAACATACACATGTATACACATTAACAAGTAGCGTAGACTGTTTAAATGTTTTGTGAATGAGAATCGGGGCATGGTCATATACAACACACAGCCAGTCTCGTCCAATCGGGTCACTTACGTTCAAGGTTAATTTCACAAGTGTTTGAGCCAATCAAGGCTGTCGTAAGGACTTAGGATTTCTTTCAATGCTATTTTCATACTATGTGTTACTATTTGAACTGTGGAAATGTTATCTCTGACTTATTATAGTTTGGCTGTAATTAGATCAGATGAAATGGTAGTTATAAGTGAAACAAAACTATCTTAAAGATAGGTTATAAATATACTCTCGGTTGTGTATCAGTGTAATTAGCAGTACCATTGGCCTCTTAAATGCTCAGTAAAAAGGAGTTGTAAGGCTTAATATATGTGGTCTTAGAATTTGCTGGAATGAAAATTATCAAGTTTAGGAAACAATATTAAGACAGACGTAACATTTCTTTTGTTAGCGTACACATATTGGACACCAACTTAACTTTTAATCAAAGTATTGCATCTAACTTCAAGTAATTGAAAACATGTGCAACTTATTGATTTGAATAACTGAATTGAGGGCTTTGTAGCTATCTTCAGGTATTTAAAGAAAGGTCAATTCAATTGAAAATAGGTTCCATTCAATGAAACATGGGTTTAATATATCGTATCTGTTCATATTTCTAATTTAACTGAAGAAAACATCATTTGTATTGCACATATCTTCGAATAGTTATAGGACAGTGTAGTTTAATTGAGTTACACTTTCTTCAATTGAAGATAGAATTGAATTAAGACACACTTGTTATAAGTACATACTTAAATCTTGAAATGATCAAGGAAATAAACATATATTTACACTCGAGTTCATCTTCACGTCTGAAGTAGAACATTCGAAATTACTAACGTAATTACTAGGTGTAAAAGTACGTTAAAACGTGTTTCATACGCGACTGCAAACACTTCAAGGAAATCACTGATCACTAATCTAAGGTGGAAAGTATTTCAAAAATGTTTCATACGCGACTGAAAAACTTGAAACAGAAGTGTTGAAACTAAAAATAGTGGGAAAATATGGCAGGAGTGATGTTGGAATTGTGCGCACGTTCAATAGGTATGCTCCCGTCCGATGTTTTCTTGAACTGTCTTGATGCATATCTTTTGTACAAAAGGACTTGACACAAGCTATACCAACTGATGAAGCCATATTATATTAATATTTCAATTACATGTGATTTCTTAGAAAATTTCAAATCGTTAAGAACGAAGCAAGTCAAATTGGTTTTACATAAGCTTGTTACCAAACCCTCTTGGGTATTTTTGATTACAGTATTGTACTACTTTATTCTTCAATAAATATTGTTTAAACTAAGTCAAGTTATTTTTGTGTGAACTAGTTCAAGTTCAGAAATCTTTAGCTGGATCTAATATAGATTTAAAGATGTCTAAACTTATATAACAGTTCGCATCCACACATTCGGCTAACCTCGGCCGATTCCGGTACCCTTCATCTAACGTTTGATGTAGGTACGGAATCTGCCGAGATGTGACGAGTGCGCATCCACAGTTGGCAATCGGGAACCGCCGGCACTTTCCGTTAACGAGAAAACGGAAAGTGCCGACGGTTCCCGATTGCCACAGTCGGATGAGAAGTTGTTTCAAACTTCTAGGAATATTTCAGTTGTTTAACGCATATACATTACGAAAATTTGAATGAGACAAGAACTCGAAACGAAGTGATAGGCCGATTTTCACAATGCGAGCCAGTTGGATCTTTAACCAAAATCGCACAAACAATGTCCTTTTTGAGAGAACTATCTTGATGTCTTAGTCAAGTATTATAATATTCCGGCACGTGAATACCACAGGTACAAATTTATTGATTATGTCTTTGTTAATGGTTACAAAGTTCAAGGAACACATTGTTATGTTTTACACGACAGACGTGACGCTTTATGTCACGTGCGTTCATTCAGTCGTAACAGTCAGACATGCCCTGTCGTTGTGTTACTAAGAACTAAGAACTTAGCATTAAAGATCTTAGCCTGTTGATTATTGGTAATTTGCACGTTGCTTTGTCTCTTTTGTAACTTAGAAGCAGCCAACTTCAATTGTTGAAGTTCTCAAATCTTCGAACATTTGTCTAGTGCAAGTTTCAGCAGCACATTGCTGCAAGTAGTCGTTAGAAATTATTGAAAGTGAAGGAAAAGTGATAGGGCACGGGACAGGGGGAAAATGGAATATGTCGGGACAGGGGAAGGATGAGAGGAAGGGGACGAGACGGGGGCCGGAAGAGGGCAAGTAAGGGGTGTATCGGAGAGGGACAGAGGAAGAAGGGGCGGAATGGTGCGGGACAGGGAAAGCATAAGCTTGGTGTGCCCCACTACATGATACCGTAAGTGGCGACAAGTGTTGGCCCATTTCAGAATCACTGGGGATATAGAAGAAACCCTCTCCTCATTGCAACACTTGAGATATATTTCTTTTCTTGTCCTCCTGCTTTCTCGGGGTCCTTTTATATAACCTCAGTAGTAGTTACATAGTAAATATCAGTCAAATATATCGAGTCTTTCTGTAGCTCCTTTCCTTTATTTCTCCTTCTATCTTTTAAATGTGTTGTAATTTCATTTGCAGATTATGTACATATGAACAATAAGGTTGTCGTATCGGAAACGCCCTGTACGGTGATAGATGGCAATCTGATTAAAGTCAGATCTTCATTATACACTTTATACTTAGTTAACATCTGTTTTGTATTCTGATTGGTTAGATAGATACCCTACTTCGTGATCGTAAATCAGAGACGACTGATATGGGTCATCTGTACGACTGTCTTCGTCTGGAGGTACTTTCTCGTAATAATGACAGTTCATGATCTCGTAATAACGACTCAGTACTATCTGGTAATAATGGCATATCATTCTCGTAATAACGACATAGCTATCTCGTAATAGCGACTGCATGACTTCTCGTAATAATGGAAGTTATCACTATCTCGTAATAATGACAGTTATCACTATTTCGTAATAATGACAGTTATCCCTATCTCGTAATAATGACAGTTATCACTATCTCGTAATAATTTCATCTTGCTGGTAACAAGCATTTTGATTGGCTTAAAAAAAATAGCGGCGTAACAATTTCTAAGAGAAAAGAGTCCATCAATAAAAGTGGATTTCCACAAGGATTGTGTAAAGGAGATTAAATTATAAGGATTAACTTGAATACATTTTTTATGTTATGGAGTGTACTCTCATCATAAACCGCGGTTTATTTAGAGTACACTCCGTTTTTAGCTCACCTGCCCGAAGGGCAAGTGAGCTTATGCCGTGGCGCAGCGTCCGTCGTCCGTCGTCAACTTTTTCTTTAAAACCTATCTCCTCCTAAACGCCAAAGAGGTTTTCAACCAAATTTAGTCTGAAGCATCACTAGGGGAGGGCAATCATTTCTTAAATAAATGAGGTTGGTTCGACCCCTGGGGCCAGGGGGCGGGGCCCTGAAGGGGAACTTAGCTAAATTTGCTTTAAAACGCATCTCCTACCTAACGCTAGTGAGGATTTCAACTAAATTCAGTCTGAAGCATCACTAGGGGACGGCAATCATTTCTT